GGATACATTTCGGGGAGTGTGCGCAGGAACTTTTCAATTTGGTTCCGCCCTCACCGTTCCTCCTTCGGTCGACTAGAAGGTCCGGAGCACTCCATTCTTATGTCGTTGATATTCCACCTATTCGCACTAAGCGCTTTGCCTCCTCCTTTCTGATGCGTACGGCAAAGGAATGGAATGCTCTACCGGCATCTGTATTTCCCGAAAAGTACAATTTGGGGCTATTCAAGGCTAGAGTGAATAGGCATTTTTTAGGCAAACGCGTCCCATCGTCGATCACATCGTCGCTTAACATCAGGTGAGATTGTGGCCAAGCGTGTGTCTATTATATATATAAAAAAAACTTATATATTTACAATATGTAATCAGTTATTTTTGGAGCTTATACCTACTATATACTAATAGTATGCGGTGTAGTTTGCTATTAAAAATGTAAACAAAAGTGCCATTAAAAAATATTATAAAATTGAAATTTATTTAAAATGCAAGTCACAATAATACAAGATCCATTAGGTAAGTACTTATTGCTATGACACCCCGCAGGAGTATTGCACTTGTCGCTACGTTTTGGCTTACATTATTTTACATTACAAAATATAATAATAAAAATATACTTTAGATTAAAATGAGTTGTCAATTATCCATCATCAGTCTTCGTCAAATTCATAAAATAACATAACATAATTTAAACAAAACTACACAAGTTTGTCAATATAAAATTCATTTAAGTTTTAATAGCACTTGTCAGTTAATAATACTTTTAATTTTTTAGTGAAATTTCTGTAATTTGTCTCACGTCTTAGGTATTCGTGTAGTTTATTGTGAATTTTTATTGCATTATAATACGGAATATTCTGATAGATGCTTAATGTACTTTGCGGAAGGCTTAATATATTCTTATATCTAGACGGTCTCATAGAAGTGGGTACAACACTAATGAATAGTTCACTGTTTTTTCTAATAAAGTTAGCCATTTTAAATATATACTAAATGTATGTAATAAATCCGTCGAGAAATGTTTCATCAATCGGTTTTTGTTTTACCATTATTTATTTATTTAATTGCATTATAGATATTACAAGGAAATGTATCTCGAACAAACATGGACCCTGTTAAAGGTGTTCAATGTATAAGTACGCATTGACTACTCTAACATTAAAATATGACAAAATAACTATCATCTTTGTCCAAAAATTACTAAATATGATCTATATTATGTTTACTGAAAAAAAAGATCAATTTCTTTTAGATACAAAAAAATCATATGAAGATGATTATCTTCTTACGACTGCTTTTGAATATCGAAATATCATTTACATCAACTGCAGCATCGACGCAATCTTAACTGCACGCAGTCGAAGTCTCGACCGCACACACTTGATTCTGACAGCACGTATTTAATGTAGACATGCAGTGCATCTGTTAGCAGCCTGAAGGACACCGTATTTTGGTTTCTAGGTCCTATCTAAATGATCAGAGGGGACAAATTTGTGACCATGCGACCTATTTCATCGTCATCCCACCCTTTTATCACCAATTCTCTGGTTCCTGGCCATCACTTTGAAATTGTGAATCGTTCTTAAATTCCTTTCCTCTTCGTCACTTACTTTCTTCTTTCCGTCGCCACTCTCTACTAAATTTCCGAAGCGAGCACACGTGCTCGACTTCACATGACATTCTGACCACTTAAATCCTGCTTGTAAAGTATAATATTTGTAGTACCATTGAAAATCATGTAACTGAATTGCTTATAAAGCATAGTATTTCTAGAATTTTCTTCTTTTGGGGTAAGTTCCTTTTACCATAACCTGTATTTAAGTAGGGAGTGTTTTTATACTATTGTGCCTGTTTTTATATCATTATGTTTTGTTACAGCCTTTTCGCCTTTACTTTACCTGTTCTTTTCCCTTCCTGTAACTTCTCTTTCTTATTTACAACAATAACATTCATGTGCCTGTTATTTCACCAGCACTGTTATTAACCCTTTAAAACCGGAGCACAGTAATGCTGACATTACTGCTTGGCTTCTCTGGACGAACTCTTTCACAAGGAACTCTACCGCTACTAAAAAAAATTAAGGTGCAATTTCTATTCAAATTGAAAACCTTTTTGAAAGTGTACCCTAAATACATTGTTTATGTTTATGCCATTTTTTGCGTCCTCTAGAAACTTACAATTTTCAATTAGCTGTGCTATATTTTTACTTGGCGTTTTCCTCCTTTTGAAGCGTTTTATCCTTCGTTTCAAAGTACTAAATTTGCTATACCAAAGCTCGTTTCTAATTTATAATTTCCTTATTTGCCCAAATTCACCTAGCTTTATTACGTAAACCGCTGCAGGCATAATGAAAGAATTCTTTTAACTGACGTCTCTTTAGCTTATCTACCGCAATTTCTGAGATAAGGCCTCGTTTTATACACCCGCCCCGAGGCGGTGGAAGGGTACAAAGATACCTTGTGATTAATAATTCGGATTGTGTAAACAACCTTTTGATGTTTTAGAGGTATTTCAATTATTTGTTTCTTGTACCTTTAGCGATATCTTAAAATACGTGTATACGTGTATTATACCAAATTTTGTATTCGCCGTATCTGCCCAAGAGTTTGGGCAGAAATAAGTTAAAACGCTTTGGGTAAAAATCCGGTTACAACCAGGGCGGGTTGATCGGGTTTTAACCTACTGCCCATTTCTGTATAAGAGTAATAATTCCATCAAACTTCAGTGATGTGCCAATGACAAACAATTTTATAATACCGTATGACACTTAATCATTCAACCTTTAAATGACTTAATTGAAACCGATCGCCTAAAGTTAACTTTATGATAATGCAAACATTATCTTGTAACTCTTAGGTAAGTTGTTGATATTTATATACTTATGTTATGTACTTCAAGAGTAGTAGATCAACGCACTACTATAGGTAATTCATATCATTATAGGACGAAATATAAATCTCAATTTTAAGTTTATTGTCACGCATCCCTTGCACTAGAATTAAAACAATGTGATGTTTCAATTTCAATATACTACTCCATTCTTAACAAGGATGAGTTATAATGACACATCAGGTTTCAAAGCTGAACGTATCAGCAGTTTATAGCTCTAATAGAGCTGTTTGTTTGTAGCAAACTTGTATTAAAACACCAGCGTCAAAGCGTAGTCCCTTTAATCGCAGAGGTATCGAATTCTTGACATCACTCGTGCACCAAGGACAAAGCGGAGGAAATTCCAAAATTCAAAACATAGTAAATTTACATAAAGTTTCCTAAACAACTCAAAGCTTAGGGGAGTATTCTTTATTATTTTTACTTTAAAATTCTGGATCCGTAGACGTTGATTAGATGTGATGGGTGGGCCCAATTTCTATTCTTTATAATATAATGCTAAAAGCATTATCTACCAGTCAACCTTTAAGAAAAACGAAATTCACGAATGCGGCAAATTAAACAAAATATCACATTAATAGATATATGTGATAAATATATAATCATATATAAATAACAAACAAACCTAATATATATGCACATATATTTATACACGATACTCACAACAACAGGATATGATGATGGTTACCGCTGCGACAAACAATTGAAATGATGCTCATGAACATTATTTTTAAAACAGTATAGAACTAGGAGACTGTACTTTTTTCTGGGGTAGGTTTTTGTTTCAAATTAAAAACTTCAATGGAAGGTTACATACATAGGGCGCACTATAAGTTTCCCGTACTTACATAAACAATATTTAAAAAGTAATTACAACATTTGAAAGTGGAACTCTTTGGCTATAGAATACAGTTTGTTTCATCTGACTGTCTCTTGTTTTTACATTGCGGCGTCATTTTAGAAATTGGTTGTCTACATCACCATGGATTTAACTCGTGAAAATTTTCGTAGTATGATTTTCTACGACTTTAAGTGTAATTTAACAGTTCAGCGGAGCATCGCTCTTCTTCAAACTGCTTTTGGCGATGAAGCATCATACAAGACAACTATTTATAGCTGGTTTGCAGAATTCAAACGCGGTCGTGTGAATCTCAGTGACGAATTCCGTGATGGTCACCCGTTCACTGCTGTGAACAACAAAAACATGGATGCTGTGCGCTGTATGATCAAAACAGACAGGCATGTGACATACCATGTGATTCGGGCATCTTTAGGCATAGGCATGAGTCAAATATAATCAATACTACACAAACATTTGGGTGTGAAAAAGATGAGCTCTCGGTGGATCCCACACAATTTGACTGAGGCTCAAACAACGGATAGGGTCACTTGGTGCAATGCCATGCATACCAAGTTCAACGAAGGGGCGTCAAATTTGGTGTGGAACATAGTAACAGGTGACGAAACATGGATTTATAATTACGATTCCAAAACAAAGCAGCAATCGAGCGTACGGGTCTTTCGAGATGAGCCGAAACCAACCAAAGTGACGCGCGTGCAAAGTGTCTCTAAGCGGATGCTTGCTTCTTTGTTTAATTAAACTGGACACGTGGCTACTGTTACTTTGGAGAATCGTTATACCGTGAATAGTGATTGGTACACGACGATTTGTTTGCCGGAAGTTATTGACGAACTTCGTAAAAATAACCGTAAACGCCATATCATCTTGCACCACGATAATGCCAGTTCTCACACGGCCAGACAGACAAATGAATTTTTGAAGGTGAACAACTTTGATCTTATGAGTTGACTTTTATTTATTTCCAAAAATTAAGAACCAGTTACGCGGTCAACGATTTTCGTTACCTGAACAGTCTGTCGAAGATTATGAAAGATATGTTTCAGAGATTGTCACGGAGGAGTGACATAAATATTTTCAAAAATGGTTCATTCGTTTAAAAAAGTGCATTAACGCTAACGGAGAATATTTTGAGAAATAATAAATTCATTTCGGACCATTTATAGTATTTTTTAATTATTCATTTCGGAAACTTATAGTGCACCCCATGTAAAAATATTATTTCACAGTAAAAATGTGTCATTTTGTTCTATTGCAGGAGAACGGGCGCGCGGCGCCGGACCTGACGGCGTCACCCGGGCGCGCGCCACCCGGCCCGCAGCAGCCGCTGCGCGCCAACCACGCTCCGCCCTGCGTGCTGCAGCCAGACTTCCGCAAGGTACCAACATAGTATAATGAGACAAGTATGATAACTCCATACAAAATAGCAGCGCGGCTTATACGTTCGCAAAATAATAAAAAGCATGTGAGACGGCCAGCGCTATGCGACGCGAATGCATCGCGAGACAGTAGGAATTTGTGTGTCCGTACACAGCACGCGGCGGGCGCGCACATGTATCGAGTTACCATACAACAGTACCAACACCATAATATTTTTTCCTGTCATCAAAATTCTCCTTGCATTCGTATCGATTGCACACACATATACATATATAACGACACACATATATATTTATAAGGGGATATTTGTAAAATACTGACAACCTCGCAGGACTGCATTACTAACATTTATGTGGTCTGTGACTAACATCATAAACAACAACTTTAGTTCTATGACATTTTTACAATATCTACATAATAAATGTACCAAAAGTACACTGACAGTTTTTAGATCTGCATTTGGTAGTAAGGTAGTAAGTATAAACGTCCAACCGTCCTCTCCGACGATCCCCACTCCCGCTCCCGCTTTTGCATCGGACTGGTATTTACGCTAGCGCTTTCTTTTGTTCCTTGTTACCGCACAGAGTCATCAATGTTAACAGCGATCTTTATAAATACTTTATTAAAAGTCATGAAACAAAAGTTGTTTTTTATGATGTTAGTAACATGATTTTGCGAGGTTGTTGGCATTCTGCAAATAACCGTGCGTGTCTAGAGAGGTATAAAGGTATGCTGGTAAAATCTGGTTCAGTGAAGCATTTACTTAACTTGATCCATTTCAGCATACAATTGTCTATGTAATTTAGAGGTCTTCAAATTGAAGCACTACCGGTTTTGACCCGTTATCTTTAATTAGGTGTATCGAAACCTTTTCACAATGCTTGGTTCAAGCTTTCCAAAAAAGAAGTAATTGCCATAATTGCCAATCCATTAACGACATTCGATTAAGCGAGCAGAGTTGAAACACGAGCATTAAATTGTAATGAAACATTAATGTGCAGGTATCAGGTGTAAGCAATGAAATATTCAGGCAGATTGAAATGGTCGAGAATGATCACGACGCGACCACGGCCGCGGCGCTCGAGGTAAGATTAATTTCCTACTTTTTTTTAATTAAAACATTTGTCTGAACGGGGCGATGAAATAAAGAAACAATAAATTCAATTAATGAACATTGAAAGGGTTATCAGAAGCCGTGGTAGCGTAATGGATTGACCTACCGCTTCTCAAGTTGAGGCCGTGGATTCGAGTCCGGGCTCGCACATCTGAGTTTGTCGGAATTTAAGTGCGTGATTTAATTTGAATTTACCATGAGCTATTCAGGGTGAAGGAAAACATCGTGGCGAAACCTGCAAGTAGAAGAAGGTTCACAGCCCTCAGAAAACGTAAAGTCCCCAACCCACATTGGGACAGAGTGGCGGACTATGGCCTAGACCCCTCGCCTGAGAGGAGACCCGTGCCTATCAGTGGGATGTATAAATGGGTTAATGATGTTGAATACGACGAACTTTCCATTGATTAAAACAATCACATGACAACGTTGGATCGGTATACGATTCGTCGGCTTTGCCTGTTGCCTCAGATTGTTTAAGTCATATTCCTGATGAGTTAAGTCTAGAGGTAGAAGGTAGAAGTAAAAGAAAGGGTTATATATTTTCATTATTAATTAAAAGCCGTAGTCTGTATCTAAAATAGTGTTATAACAATTATCTTAGTTTCAACAATAAATTACTTTGCTTAGGAGACGAGATAGTAGAAGGTCAATATACAAAAATAAAACACGAATTCCGTCTCTAAGTTGATGAATTCATCCTGATAAATCGTAACAAGTATTTCGTATTTTATAATTTTACGATATATATGGGCTCTGCTAAATAAATTAGAATGGACCCATTTTTTGTTGCATAGTTGTAGGTATAATGTACATGCCTTTAAAGGTGTTAAAAGAAATTCTAGTAGTTCCAGTTACCACATTAAATAAAATGAATGGGACAGTTAAAATACCATTTTCAAATAATTAGCAAATTTTGGAACACTTGAACTGTTTGTAGCTTTAATTAAAGCAATTTCAAAAAGCAAGGTTGCTAACTAGTAAATGATTTAAAACAGAAGTAGAGATATATCTATTATGGGCTAAATAATTTATCCATACGTAGAAAAAACAAATTCAAGAAATTATCTTTCAACAGAATCGTTACATGTTCCTTGCGACGACGTTTACTTATTACTCATTAAAGTTCTTTTAACTTTCACTCACGGTCGCTGGATTGTTTCGTGACTCGTGAACGCATCTGAGTGGAGCCACTTAAAAAAACCTGTGCAGCTTTAGGAAATGAAACTAGTTTTCCCGATTTAAATCGCGTATATTTGTGTCAAACAAACCGACGTTTCGGGTCCTTTACAGGTCCCATGGTCACGGTTGAAGGGCCCGAAACGTCGGTTTGTTAGAAAAACCAAATATACGTGATTTAAATCCGGAAAAATAGTTTCATTTCCTATGTGTAACAATCGCGAAAACCTAAGAACTATATGTGCAGCTTTATTTTTCGGAAAATATTAAAATTTATTAAATCTACGTATTTACGTTCTGGGTCATGTGTGGTCTATGGCGCTTTAGTAATGTTTAGTTCATTAATTTGTGACTGCAAGAGTGGTGCGCGTATGACGACGATCAGTGACGCTGCAGCGGTGCTGTTAAATATTGTATGATAATTAGTAGTAGTACCACTGCATCGCTTCTATAAGCATCCATTTTGAAGGTTCTACTGACCTCCATATTGGAAGGTGCCCTTAAAAATAATGCTATTGCATTATCTCCTAAGCATCAAGTATATAACAAGTATATAAGAAATAGAGACGAAATGTTATTTAATATGTTTGAAAACTATTCTGCCAAATCATTACGGTGACGACTGCGCTCCGATTGGCCAACCCTAATTCAATTTTGCAATTAGTTGTTTTGCTGTTTTTCCCACACCACCATTTGCATTGTTAGAGATATTATCTTTATTACAATAAATGCAGAACATTTTTGGAATATACGGAGACGCACACACAGGTCAGTTGTTGGCGCTGCGCTGTACCATATCAGCTTTCTAATTTGTGATTTCAGCGCAAACGAGAGTTTATATTTAAAAGTGATATAAGGCTCATTTACCTGATTAGTTGCCAGGGATGGATGGCCCTTATTTCGTCTCTATTTTTGGTTATATACTCGATACTTCTAAGCTTCATTTCGCAGGAATGACTTTGACAGTCGTTTAAATAAACGTCACCTCCCAATTTGTTTACAGGCGGTGGAGCGCCGCGGCGAGATGATCGTGCGGATACTTGAATTGAGACAAATAGGCCGCAACAATATAGAAGCCGCCAAGAAATTTTTCGCACTACAGGTAATTTATGATTCTTTTAGAAACTACAATATAATTACTAACTGTAATGAGTGGACCTAACTAAATACAAAATTTATCATGCCAGGCAAAGATTGCGTATCAGTAAATAATTGCGTACGCTCAAGTTCTTGTAGCTTGTATGACACAAAGAAGTGGATGAGTTACCTATTCACGTATTTTATGCCGCTCCATTGACCCGGATGCTAAACTCGTAACCTAGTGCAGTGAAAGAACTACTCCAGTAGCCTATTGTTCGAGCCTGCCTGCCCCAGATCGTCGGGAATGTGAACGCAATTTAGAGCAGCATTGTTGGAGATGTTGGGATGCAATACCTTAGCTATACTATTGTGGGAAGGCTGCTATTACAGTTCAATACAATATGAAAACGAACGCTGCAATGCAACTGGCTATGTAATCACGATACTGATATTTTTAATGGCTTCGCAGATGATGATTATCATGTTATTATCTATTGACTTCTTTGATACGCGTCAAAAATAAAATACAACAGGATAATTCGAATTGAATGAATTGAAATAAATTCTATTATTTGAATGTACATTTAGTTATGCTAATTTGCAGGACTCACGCCACATAGTTCAACTAGTGGAAATTGTTAAACGTCCCGGCCAAACTTTGGGGTTATATATCAGGGAAGGTGACGGTGGCACCCGGTCTGATGGAGTTTTCATATCTCGGATAGCACTGGAATCAGCCGTGTACAACAGTGGGTGTCTGAAGGTTGGAGATGAGATCCTTGCCGTGAATTTGGTAGATGTTAGGAGAATGTCACTTGATGACGTGGTCATCATTATGTCGATACCTAGAAGACTACTATTATGCACGAGACAAAGGAAAGGTAAGAGTTTCCTCGATACCGAAATTCTTTTTAAAAAGGAAAGTAAATTAAGTAGTTTTTTATTGTTGTAAAGGTAAATCAGTGCCTGGTTCGCCATCGTTACTTCGCACGGAGCACAAACCACCGCCAGTTGTGGTACTAAAAAGGGATTGTCGCGATGATGAAGACAGAGATCGCCTTGACGGCAGAGATGGTCTTTATTCACAGTAAGTGTTTCATTTACGTTTATTATGTGTTTCAATTTACTCAGAGAATTATATAATGTTATGTTTCCAAGTACAAAAAATGTTTGGTTAATTACAGTATTTATTTAGTCTGTGATTAATTACATATTGTGACATTGATGACAACACTTAGAGGAATGCTAAGAAAAGAAGGTTAAATAATTATTGATAACAATGTTCATATGAATCATCATCAGGCGCACAACTTCCCGTCCATCCCGTCACTTAATATTATATTAAAAAAAACATATATACGTGTACCAGAACCACGAAACGAAAAAACCAGAAAAATATATCTTATCAGCATTTCACTTGTAATAAATTATTAATAATCATCATAAGGTTTGAATTTGAATTTGAATTAAGGATTGCGTTTTTACCGGTACGTACTAACTTTTAATGCTTAAAGCTTTTTTCTCAATAGACATGGTACACTACGATCTACCGGAGGACCTGGCGGTGGTGTTCGACCGGTGGGCGATGGCAGAGAAGAAAGAAGTCGATTGCAACTTGGTGGTTTGTCACCCGATTCTACAGCCTTAGACTTATATTACAACTCGCGGCCTCCATCTGATCATTCTACGTGGAGGTCAGTGATCTTCTATTTCAATATCAGTATTTAATAATGTAATCCATCGTTAATGTAGATACATTAACATTTTCTCTTACCGGTTATAATAAAGTATTGCGGTAGGCATGTTTACTCGTAGACGTTCAGTTTCATCTTTTTTCACAGCTATAGGCCTCCACCGCCAGTGATAACAGAACAACCAAAATCATCAGCGACACACTTTGTACCTTACGAGCGATCCTATCCCAACACATTAGACAGCCTTGCTGAGAAAGTTCATTCGTACTACCCTTCTGATACTGGCAGGTAAGCATCCTCCGCTCGATATAATGTAGTGCAATAGCTTATTTGGCGAAAGGTGACATTTTTCAAGACACAGTTGTTCTGTGGTTCTAGCGATGGTTACCATTGGTTACCGCATTTCAGTACACGGTTTGGTGGGAGAGTACCTCGTTCTGGTTCGGAACAGCAACTACCAAGAGCGGAAACACATTCGGACTTCGGGCGTCATTCACTGCTACGGTCAAGTTTGAAAGCTTCTGCGGCAACTGGAGGTAGTAGGCACATCGTCATAAAATCTTGTGAAATCTCTTGTTCAACACCATACCAGAATTAATATGAATATATTTTTTTAGCATCGAGCATAGCGAGATACAATCAACGATACGGAGTAATTGGTGGAACGGGCCTGACGGGCTCTGGTCTCACTGGTACGGGCCTAACTGGGACTGGACTTGGTGGACATGGTCTGCCTTCTGGTTTATCAACTACAGGACTTAGTGGACTGACTGGTTCAAGCTTAGTGGGATCAGGGTTGGCTAGTTCTGGTCTTGGTTCAGGATTGACGGGCAGTGGATTAAGCTCAACACTTGGAACAGGTTACGGAACTACTGGTTTGGGATTATCTTCATACAATAGCAAATTTGGTACATCGAGAAGGAATCGAAGTTTAGATTATTCATCTGATACTGAAGCTACAGCGCCGACAAGAACGCCATATTATTCAGGTCTCAGCGGATACAGGAGTAGTACCTTGGGAAGAGACATTGGATCGAAGTTCAATTCATTGCCAAGAGATGTAAGGGGAACGGGACAGAGGTAAGTTGTAATTAATACATTTCTCTCACGTTTACTATAAATGTACTAAGCTACTCTTAATTTGCTGTATCAATTTTTTAATTTACAGATTAGGCCTAAGCAGACGAGCAGGAAGTGTTCTTCACGATGAACCAGAACCATTATCTTCACGCCTAGATCTACGTTCTTCCAGAGGTGACTCATTTTTCAACCTTAGTTTATCTTTCCTACAGTTCATATTCCAAAGTCCTTATTATTTTATTTTGTCCTAGGCCGTTTGCCATCATCACCATCAGTGTTTACATCAGATGAATATCGTGCGTGGTTGTCGCGGGCTCCATCGACTAGTGCGCTCTATGAGACGTTACGTCCACGACTTCCTACTCATTTTTCAGCAGAAAATATTCACGATGCACTTAAAAATGTGAGTTTGTTTTTAGTTCCATTGCAGTGTTACATTTAATACTGAGACATTTTTCATGTATTTATAATTATTCAAAATATAAAAGCATAAAAGAAAAATTATCTGCTTAGATGGAAAGCGGTAGTCGGTTTGGTTCTACTCTTGGATTGGCTGGCCGAGCAGGAAGAATGGAACGGCCTCGTCATTTACCTGCAAGATCTCTGTCGTCGCAACAATTGGGCCCTACAGGAGGCTCACCTTCTGCCCGCCGCGTAAGGCAGTTGCTTGAACTGGGATCAAGATTCAATTGCCCCAATCCGAGTCCGGTGCCGACTCCAAGCTCGCGACATCAGCGACACCTCGATATCAATCCTAGTGGTGTGTAAATTATGTAATAACATGAACAATAATCGGCGGAAAGTGATACTTTAGACGTTATCAATAATATTTCATAACGAGAATACACACCCTATTTCAGAGTTCCTAAAGTATAAAGTGGAAAAGCCAGCTGCCGGCGGGTTGTCCTCCTCCATGACTGGTCTGTCCCGGTTGGCGGGCGGAATATCGGGCCTATTGTGGGTACATCTATTAGCTGGACGTGGACTGCGACATGGGCCATCAGGCGCTTCTCCTGGTTCCCCACCTTCTGGTCCACTTGCGCCGGCACATCCTCCTTCAGCCCCTAGAGATCTTTATTGCGTACTGGAATGCGACAGAGTGCACAAAGCAAGAACTGTGGTAAGTTGTGTGTTTAGTATCGGTTGTAGTAAAGTACGAAAATGAAAATAATAAATCGTGATGCAAAATTTTATATCAACTACAATGTTAACATGAATTTCATAATGCTGACTTTGTTGTGATTGTTATCAGGTGCGCACCGGCGAACTGCAGTTTGACTGGGATGAAGCATTTGAGTTAGACTTGGTGGACAACAGGCAGCTGGACGTTTTGGTGTACTCATGGGACCCACAACATAGGCACAAGCTGTGTTATCGCGGAGCTGTTACCCTACCTGACCTGCTATCTAGAGCTGCTTCTCATCAACTTGCTATCAAGGTAATAAATTGTTTTTCTTAAAGGTAGACATTGATAACACAGCTTTCGAAAGGCGTTTAGTTTTTTATAATATCTTTTATGATACGAAGTGACTGGACGAACAAGTCGTGCGCCTGGTAGTAAGCGACACGCCTGTTCATAAGTAGTTCCATTGCCACTCGAGAACTTTAAATCGCAAAGGTTTGAGGGACTCACCACTGCCCCCGTCACCCTGTATAAGTTGACAAGTCACATGTGCCTGTAATTACATCAGCACCCTTCAAAACTTTTTTATAGAAATATGCGTCACCCTCTACTTCAAACGTTAGACTGAAACTGTTGTCTAATATTATAATAAAAGCAATACAGACATTTTGTTAAGAACTATAGCGAATAGGCTCTAAGCTATCAAGTTTTTGTTGTTTCTAATATTTAGGCTTTTTATATTATTATTGAATAACGAAAAATGTTTTTATAGATGGAGCCTCGAGGCACACTCTATGTACGCATACGACACACAGATCCCCATGAATTATTCCGTCGAAGACCAGCAGCGCCTCGATTATCTCTTCCTCCATTGTTTGGAGCTGAGCTAGAAGCGGTTGTTGCGAGGGAAGTTAGGCCTCCACACATGCCTCCAGTACCAATCATCGTAAGACGGTGTGTGGAAGAAATAGAACGACGAGGTTTAGACATTATTGGTACGGAATTTTGATACTTAAATTTATTGTCAGTGCGTTACTATTCACCGTGCACCTTAATTTGATTAAAGAAAAGGTTAATTGATTATTATTCTATATATAACTGCCTCCGTGGCCGAACGGTTACCATGCCGGACTGCCACGCAGAGGTCCCAGGTTCGATTCCCGGGCCGGGAGAAATATTTGTATGGCCTACATTTATTTCTCTCGTGAGTTTGGGTGTAATTTGTGGTTGTCTATATGTGTGTCCATGGCACCCGCGACACAGGGTTTCCCTAGTGCGGGGCTATGTTGAGTGTGTGCGTTATTATTATTATTATTATTATTATTATTATTCTTTAATGGCTCTCTAAGTGTCACTGTCAGGGACAATTGACGTGATTCTAAAATATTTCCAATTATAAATACAACAACGACATCCATATACTACGTAACGTACTAAATGCGTTACATACACACACTGTGTTTCACAAAGTTGCGATTACATCACAAAACTTAATTTAATCGGTTGTCAAACATTTAAGATGTCAGACGCAGATGTGGTTTTCTTTGAAAATTTATTTACATTGATGTGTTGTTCACATTTCGCTACTTCGCTTATTGTGTGAACATAAATTTAAAGTTTAAAATGATTCATATTGATTTGGTAAGTAATATTGTTGTTTTTGATTAATTTATGTGCTATTTAATAATTGGTGATAGCGAGATAATTAGTAAAACGCCATGTGTTGTGACGCGCCTTAAGAGTGGTTACATACAGCGACTGCACCGATACAAACGCGCGATTGCATCGATGCAATCGCTTTTAAACCACAATAGTATCGTTATAAAGAAGGCGCCTTCATATAAGTGATTATTTATGCAATTGTATCATAAATGAATCTAATATCAGACGGCAAACGATGTAAATATTTAAGTACATTAATTATTAAATAATATATGTATAATAAATAATAAATAAATTAATGATACACCAGAATATTACTTACCGATTCTATGTAAAAATTTTAAACTAAAAGAAATAGTTTCATTTCCCATGTGTAGCAATCCTGAAAATACAAGAATTTGATTTAATGTGGATGTAATTTAATTTCGTAAATAGTAAAACAATTTTTGTTTTGAAATAGTAGAACTATTTATTTACTAAACCTACAACTGCCTAAAATATTTTATAGTTAACACATATCTACACCACAGATCAAACAAATCTACACTTACTACCAGTTAGGACAGTGGTCAAACGCAAGCCTATTAAAGTAAAAAAAAAACACCAAAAAACTCTTTACAGATCCTTGCAGCTAGTACAGTTGTGGAGCGAGCGGAAGGCCCCTGGGTTAAAGCAAACTTAAATATATTCTGCATCAAATAGCGAAACAAGCGTGAAGAGCCTTGAATGCCGCAGTAGAGTTGCCTGCTTATCGGCATTCTACAGGATATATCTCGGAGACTGTGCGATGGAATTGATAATTTGATTCCGCCTTCCCCTTTCCGTCATCGAGGACCTAGTCGTGGTCTGGGATTTCAGCCCTATGTTGTGGATATTGCCAGGATTCGCACGAAGCGTTACGCTTCCACGTTTACATGGCGAACGGCTAGGGAGTGGAATTCCCTGCCTGCGGACTTGTTCCCGGGACGCTATAACTTGGACCTTTTCAGGGCGAGAACGAATAGGCATTATTTAGGTGTGCATGCTACATCCTCGACCCCATCGTCACTTTCCATCAGGTGAGATGGAGGTCAAATGCGCACTTATTTTTTATAAAAAACCTGGGAAATTCCCAATAGGTATAGACTGTCGCGTCTGCCCACTGTATTACTATACTGAAACTTAAAATTCATCAGTAAAGCAAAACACGATTACTATCAATAGTGTTTTGTTTGGAACATATTATATTTTCTGTGAATACTCTTGTTTATGGTACATTGAAATCTTTGAAATACAACGCTTCCTCTAAAGTGTGTGGTAAATGTGATCTCCACTTTTTTGGAAATTCATTTATCTAACACCATTGCTTTGTTTTAGGCCTTTACCGACTTTGTGGTTCAGCAAACAAGAAACGCATCCTCAGAGAAGCATTTGACCGCAATGCGCGGGGCGTTGAACTGAGCCCCGACTCCGTACCAGACATTAATGTGATCACGGGCCTGCTGAAAGACTATCTACGAGAGCTACCACAGCCACTGTTTAGCAAGTGCTTGTACCAGATGACAGTTGATGCTTTGGGTATGCCTAAAATTTGTATAATGTATATTATCAATTAAACTTATATAATTATTGAGAGTTGAAAAATGAGTTCTAAGTCATCTTTTTTGATTAAAAGGAGTATGTCTACCTGACGACAAAGAAGGCAACGCGCGTCTCATGGCCTCAATAGTGGAATGCTTACCTCGTGCGGCAAGATCGACTCTGGTCTTCCTCTTAGACCACTTAGCTCTCGTTGTAGCCGCACAGGACCGCAACAAGATGTCTCCAAATCACCTTGCGGTGGCCCTAGCTCCACCGCTGATGTTGCATTCTCAACCTCCGGCAGAGTTGGACTATCAGAGGCCGATTCAAGTACTTCAGTGTCTCCTGCAGATCTGGCCACCTCCGAAACGTTCAGGTAATGTCATCTCCAAGCTCAGTCAATTAAATCTAACTTAGTCAATTGACATTGGAATATTACTAAACAAATTCACTATTCAAAACAATTTAGCGGAATCAGTCGCTGTATTTTTTGACAAACTGATTTTTTGATGATACATTATTTAATTATTTAAACAGATGTAACCTTACGTTCTCAAACTTACGTCTTAAAAACCTGGCTCGGAGACATTCACAGCATTAGTGTAGAAGCATGGCCACACACTTCGCTTACAGTAGAACACTAGACACAGACTCACTGTTAATAATGGCTAAGCGGTACCTTAACGCATGTATGGTTGTAGACAGTTCGGCGCGGCGAGCCAGCACTCGGGCTGCGTGGAAGCAGAGCCAGTGCGTCGCCAGCGGTCTCACTCATCGTCCCCCAAGGTGCCAACATTGTGACCGAAATAAAATTGTGTAACTTTCTACCATTACCTCTAGAGAATGTTAATTGTACGACAAATATATATGCAGGCCGAGTTCCGCCCTCAGTCAGTCCATATCGGCCTCCAGCGGTAGCATCAGCAGCATCTCCGCCGCCAGCTCTCTCGGGTCGGCCCGGAACCGACCGCTCGCCGCCCGCACATGTACGTATTACGCACACGCATTGCCAACACCGTCGCACGAACGAAGGCACAATTGTATGGGAACTCGTCTCTCTACACTATGGATTTTAAATCCGGATTTCAGGTTCTCTCATCAGTCAGGGGCGGCCAATATCGTCCGCAGTCGCCGCTGCGCGGCCCTCTGCCCGCTCCACCTCGCTCCCGGCAAGTAACGCTGTCTTCGCCCGGATCGCCTAGTAGCAGCTCGGGCAGCCACAGCCCGGCCGACACGATCAAGCACGGTGGCTCGGTGTCGTCTATACTGCGACAGCCAGAGCGGTCGTCTGCGGCGACGTCTAGCCCGCGGCACTCGCCGCGATCGTCGCCCCGCGCCTCCCCGCGCGACTCCCCGCGCTCGCCGCGCTCCACGCCGCGCGAGAGCCGCGACAGCACGCCGCGAGACGGGTCGCGCGACTCGCCGCGGTCCGTGATCCCGGGAACTTCTGCGGGACTGGCCGTGACCCTCAACGCCGAGGCGCGCGGCGCGGCGGGCGCGCTCAGTCCACGCTACAGCTCCACCAACCCGTTCCTGCAGGCGTACGACGCGGAGGAGGAAGCGGAGGCGTGGCGCGCCACCGATATCTTTTCGCCACCCGCGCACACATAGTGCTCATAGCGAATTGAGATTTTCTAGTCAATTTTTTTATCGAATCGAAAGAGTGCTACGATTCCGCTGTATATTATGTTATTTATCGACGAGCGTGGTGCGCGTTCGTGTAATGTTTGTTATATATAGAGCGAGTTACGATGTATATTATTGTGAGAATGTATACCTACTGACGCGCTAGGTGATCGCTTCGCCGGCCGCCGGTGCTTCGCCCCGTAGTTCTTTAGTATTATTTGTATCGTATTGTACATTGTATATAAATATACGTATGTAGGTACGCTCCAGTTTTGTACCGATCGGGCGGGGCGGCGGCGGCGGGCGGTACGCGACGCTACACACATCATCCCACATATCAGAGGCCTGCGTACGCGCTCGGCGCTCCTTGTATATTCCGGGCCGTCACCGTCTCGCACTCCACGCTGCAATCGAACGAGACCTACTGAGAAAGAGTATAAGTCCAGACGCGTGTGTCGAGCGTGAACTCAAGCCAGTAGCTCGAGTAGGGAGAGTGTATCATAGATCAGACGTACGGACTGTCTTGAGACTGAGACCATATCAGAGTAGCTCGTAGATATCACTCGCAGGACATCCGTCGTAGAACGAGCGATTACGTCACAGAGATTAGAAACGCTGCGTATGAATGTTAAACTATTCCAATAATCATTGTTCATTAATCTATTAAATTATATAACGATAATACTACTAATATTAAAATATAATAGAGTTAGAGCATTTTTACGAGTCGCTGATTCTATGAAGGAATGGGGTTAAAATATCCGTTGAGATCGGTCGCAATCTCAAGATCAGAGGTGCTATGTTCGAATTTCAAGTGAAAGAAAATAAAAGTGTTAATCCATCGAACATTTTACAGTTTTAATAAATTCGTCGTTTACGTTTGAGATTCGAAAATAGAATCTCAGTTCTTAAATTAGCGTCTGCTAGACATATAAGAGTGGAGAAATCGACCAATGACAGCACTGATGTATCAACTGTCACTGCCATGATTGGTCCATTTTTTATAGAAAGCGTAATTTATATACACCTGTTTATATGTCTGTCGGAGGCTAAATGGTTACCGTTTACTTTTGAGCAACACTTCAAGACGTTATATTAAATTAATTAAAACTGTTAACTAAATAGCAATGCACAAATAACTCGACTGAAAAGGGACACAAAACGTTTTTGATACTTTACTTTTTACCTGTTTCTCGTTTGTACGGACACTAGATGTTGTTTTGGGAAGTCTCACCACATTGTCTTTGTGACACTGTTCGTCCACGAATTTCGATATCCTCATGTATACCTACCTACCCTTTACATGGGTTTGATGTCAACTTACAGCAAAAACATTGAATAAGAAATTTACACAGGTAGCATTTGCAAATTTTCTATAAAATTCAAAGTAACTTTAAATGGAAACAAAAGTTTCATTGTATTTATAAATTTACATATGCCTATGGGATTCTTGTCCCTGATATTTTATGTAGTATAAGTAGAAAGACGCTATAGTCTACCTACTAGCTTTAATAAATATTAAAAATAATTATAATCAAGGTATATTAAAAAAAATCCACTCAAGTTGTTCGATGTCTTAACAATGTTTTTTGCTTCTAGAATGCGTGGACGAATGTAGCATTTTTTAAAGTGAAGATTAATTCTAAACTTACTGAGGAATAATTAATCTTCGATAATAAATGTTTGCATTTCTAGTCGATGTCTTTACTAAGTTCTTCTCAAACAAAAATAAGGACTAGTCTCGACTTCAAATGCAAAATCATCATTAACAATAGTTCACTGTTCGACACTATACCACTCGAAAGAGAGTTAAAAAATCTATTTGGGATATAGGTAAATATTCCATATGTTTTGTGGTGTACACGATTCACTTTTTAGTAGTCGAGAGGAATTTTTATTATTAAAGCAATAAACACTATTGTTTGAAAGTGTTGTGGGTTATGAAATGAGTTGTGTTGTGGTTTGGTAATGCAATGTGGTATAGTGTATAATAGTTATAGTTGTAAGGGCAAGTTGTTGTTAATTCCATCAGTCGTCAGACAGATCATTTTTCCGGTATCTTTAAAATATAACGATGGTTGCATTCTCGTCCACTGTAAAATGATAGGATTTTTAATAAGAGTATTTTACTGGTTATATAACATACTTATAATGATGGCATACTCCATAATAAATAAATAATTAAAATTCTATGGATGATAAAGTTATTGTAACTATAATTTTATCGTAATTTTATTTTATTGAATATCATAATGTTTTTACAACCACGATATAAACACTTCACTAATTTGTCATTATATTTTTTTTTAAAGCTCCGAACTAGGGAAACCCTTACCGCGGGTGCCATGGACACGCTGATACACAACCACAAATTACACCCAAACACACGAGAGAAATAAATGCAGGTCATACAAATATTTCTCCCGACCCGGGAATCAAACCCGGGACTTGGACGGACGGTTAACCGTCCGGCCTCTGAGGCAGTTAGAGTGATATAAAGATTGAACAAACACAAAGAACAATTCCTTCGATCTGACTAGACACGAACCAGCCTTACATTGGCTAACAGTTCAGTCTAGTCATAACGAAGGAATTTTTCTTTGTGATTGTTCGATTTTTGTATCAATACTAATACATATAATTTTATCGTTAAATATTCTATTTGAACGTGTTATAATAATTATTCGGAACTTACATTAGGTACTTTACAAGTTACTTTGCAATAATCATTGTCTAAATTCAAAAATAGAATAAAGTTAAAATCGATTTTTCTTTAATTAGGACGACGGCTCTGACGACTGATAAATTCGCACGATAAAGCTCAAGACTTGAAGTGTCGCTCGACAGTTAGTAGCCAGCCCGCGTGTAGCGGCTGTAGTGTGTAGTGACTACGCGCACGGCTTCAGTTGGCTTCCCCGGCCGCCACTCAGAGCCACACGCCTTGTTTTGTTACTAATAGCTAGATAATTTCCTACTGTTTTCTTGTGGCTGCTACTGTGGGTGAACTCTATAAACAGAACTATTGCGGACTCATCAATCTTAAAAAAAAATGTAAATGGCCTACTGTTTGCTGGAGATAGCATACCTTAACCCATGCACGAAAAGCTCCACACACTTTTTTATGATATCAAGCAACGGGATAAACAAGCCGTGCGCTTGGTAATAAGTCTGTTCAAGAGAATGCAATGCAACTTAGAGCTTTAAAACGAAAATCTGTGGGGCACTGTCTGTGCGCCCTTCACCCTGAGACATAAGTTGACAAGTCCCATGTGGCTGTAATTTCATCAGATTGTTTTTACGTAGGTAAATTCTATATATCTAGGCAAATTAGGCGGGTAAAGGGAACCAATTTAAACGATCAAGGTTTTTTTCTTTCCTTTTATTCTCAACGAGAGATATGAGAGTCCGCAGTTAGTTTTATTGGCATTATACTCCCGCAATTAGAATTGGCTTGTTGGTTACAGGGATTTACACGAGAATGTTTCTATATTACACTAACCTTATATAGAATAAGTCGTTAAAAGAAGATTATTCAAGTAAGGTTCACACATTGAAGGTTTCATATTCCCACACCTTTGACAGATTTTTTCCATAAAAAATATATAAACATAAAAAATATTTGTATTTGCAAATTCTGCCATATCAATCAACCAGCCTTTTCTGTCCTTGTGGTCACACCTGCATGTAGACTTAAAGATGTCCTTGTTCCAAAATATTGTTGTTCATTTGATTTTGCAATCTTGAAAACTTTGGTTGTTGCTCTCATTGTTGATGTTAGATTTGAATGTATGTCTTAGTATATAGAAATACGTATATCGTTTCAAATACTGAACCGAATTTTGTAATATGCAACGTCTCCTTATGTTTTTTTGAAATCTATAATGTTGTTCCTTTCTTATCTAAAAAACGAACGTAGGGCGTTATAGTGCAAATGGGGTTTATCAAATGAAATATTTGTGAGGTTTTCAAGTAATTGCGGAATCAATGTAGTAACTGTTATATTCTATTAATAAATACCCAATAGTAATATCCAATATGTAACGACGAGTATATCATATATCTATTCGAAATTCTAATTATCTCGCTTACTACAAATATCAGATTTATCTATTCTAGTGAACGAATTATGTCGATGTGAAAAGAGCATTCTAGAATTTATTTATATGATTGTATAGAGACATGTATAGTATAGATGTTTATAGAATTACTATTTAATACATATATGAGGCTAGGTTGATGGTCCTCTGAGTGGCGTCCGCAGTTCGTTTGCGTTGCGAGGCCCTCGGCCTCTCAGATAATATCAGTATTTCGACAATTTGATAAAGTAGCGTTACTACGTGTACTTCGTAACGGTAAACGCCGCTCGTATCTGTACCGGGCGGCTGGAACACAGACGAAAATAAAATAATACGACGTTACATAATGACTTTTATTTATCACGTATAAAATATTTGCATGGTGAAGTCTATTATCCACCACAACGGCGCGAAGAGCTGTGTTTCAATAAACAATGTTCTAAGCGATATGGATAGTGGCGGCTTTGCCTATGGTGCAGAATGTGCGCCGCTAGCGACGCCTCCAATAAGCCTGTGTCGTTTGCGGCACAAGAAGGTAAACGGGCTATTGCTTCCCAATATCATTTATAAATTCACCATTTGCACTTGAATTTCCTATCATTGGGGAAAATACAATTTTAAGTATTCCATTTTGATCGCGTGCCTAACAGAGGGCGCCAGGGATTGCATCCGGGCGCTACACGGGCTAGTGTAGGTGTCAAAATAACGAAATTTTCGCTCATTTATGGTAAGTAATGGCTTTTAGATCCTTTTTCCTGTTCTCAGGCTTTTGTTCCGTACGCATGCCTGTGTTTTATTATCTGTGTTGTGGAGACAAACTCCATTGACAAAAATAAGTCCCTCGAGCTATTTGTATAAGTTTTCTCGCGGTGAAGATCGATCGCATAGCCGAATTTTAAGGAAGGTATGTAGTACCTATATACGAACTGGCTATAAACCGTGAGGAGTGGAGAAAGCTACACCGACAAGAGTCTGGCTCTTAAATAAGATGATGATAATATAGCATATACCTATATTTTATTCTTCTTAGCAAGTTTGCCAAGGTAGAT